CGCGGAGCCTGGGCCTGTCACAGCCGCCCCCCCTCACGGTCCGCACCCACAGGCCGCCGTCGCCCCCGTGAGCAGGGAAAGGAGAACCGATGCTGACTTTTAGGCAATTCCTTCCGTCTCTCTCTTTCTTTCTCTCTTTCTTTCTCTTTCTTTTCTTTCTTTTCTTTCTTTCTCTCTCTCTCTCTCTCTCTCTCTCTCTCTCTCTCTCTCTCTCTCTCTCTCTCTCTCTTTTTCTTTTCTTCCCTTTTTTAAAATCTTTATTGTGAAAAGTATTACATATGTCCCATTTTTCCTCCCATGGACCCCTTAGGGCCCTCCCCGGCCCCTGACCCGTTCAAATTCTGTTCACAGGCGTGAACGGAAACTGGGGCCGTTTCGTGCCCTTTGACCTTTGACCCGGATGTGGAAGATCCTGGCTGTGCGGGGCGAAGAGGAGCTCACAGCGCCGCACTAGGCCGCCCGGAGACGGCTCAGCGCCGAGCAGAGACCAAGCGGAGAGGGTAGGTGAGCGGGTCCCAGGCCGCGGGTGGGCGGGACACAAGGAAGGACCAGATGCGGGCGCGGCCGCGGGAGGCCGAGGTGGGGGCGCGGCCCGGCGACCCGCGCTGGCGCCTCCCGCCCCTCAAGGTGGGTGCCGGCGGCCATGGCGGAAACGGCCCTCAGAGCTCCGTGGGGGCTGCCGGCGGCCGCAGGTTCGCACCGGGTATTTGGAACAGGTTCTCTGGCCGCCGAGTGGCTACCTCAGTGGGTTCAGAGGGGAGGCCGGAGGGGAGGGGCAGTCCCAGCTGTGGCTGCGGACGGGACTCGGCTTCTGCCGGCCCGGGGGCCACAGCCCAGGCAGCTGCGGCCAGGCCCGGGCTCCCGGTGAGGACCTGCTGGTGCAGGCGCTTGGCTCACGGCCGCGCCGTTTTCTTTCTCCGTGGACTCCCTGTGTAAGGTGCTGTTCTTTAGAATATATTTATTCATTTCAGAGAGGAAGCGGGGGAGAGAGAATCATTGATCGGCCGCCTCCCGCAGGCCCCCCACTGGGGATTGAGCCGCAGCCCCGGCTCCTGCCCGACCTCCTGGTCCACAGGCCGAAGCTCAGGCCCTGGCCACACTGGCTGGGCTCTAGTTAAGGTTTTACACACGTGTGTGTAATTACTTATTTGAAGATGGAATATTTACTGATATTTTAATAGCTTCATATGTTTCCTTTTTACTCTGCAACAAACTGTGGAATTTGTTTTGGTGAAATCATGAGATATTCAGTGTTCCAAGGACTTCAAAGTGTATTTGTACATTAAATGCATTTTGTCAGTGTTGAGAAAAATCAGCAGACCTACAATTAAATATCCACATAAGGATGATGCACCACCACGCGATTCTCCAAGAAGCAGCAGGCACTGACCCGTGAATGTGAAACTAGACCCCACAGCATCAGATCCCCATGCAGAAACCGGTCCAAAGTCCAGGTTGTTACCTGGGCTTCTGATCCAACAGCTTAAATCAGAGGTCCCCACAGCCCCTCTTTGAGGTCCATTTATTTGCTAATGGGGCTCACAGAACTCAAGCATTTACTTAGGTTTGCCACCTTTATTATAAAGGATACAGATGGCAAGCCAGGTGAAGAGGTACAAAGGGAGAGATCTGGAAATATATTGAGGGCAGGAGCTTCCATCCCTGTGGAACTGGAGTGTGCCACCCTTCTGGCATTTGCAGACACTCTTCAAATCTCCAACTGTTTGTACTGTTTTCACAGAAGTTAATCTCTAGCCCCCGCCTGACCTCCCAGAATTCGGTGGGTGGGGCCCAAAGTTCTAATCTCATCAGTTGGTCTTTTTGGTGACCAAGCTACTGGGTGTCCATCTTGCCCCTTGCTGTCACATTATTGATATAAATTCAGATGTGCTCAAAGGGGGCTCCTAATAACTATTAAAATATACTCCTACCAATCACTCAGGAAATTTCAAGGGTTTTAGGAGCTCTGTGCCAGAAATGAAGGACAAAGACTAAGTATATTTCATAGAAGAGAAATGGAAATACTATGCAGAAATTCTTAAGTTCTGTGTCTCAGTATTATTATTTAAAACCACAGGTTTTAAAGAGGTTTATTTATGTTTAGGCGTACACAAAACTGAAAGGAAAGCTGAGTGTTATTTTCCTTGTTCTATGTGTTCCTGAAAGAAAAGGGGTTCAAAGAACCCATCCCAATGACACAGGTAGTCTGAGATCAGATTTAGAATCTGACCCACATAACATTGAAGCAGATGGAATTTTATTGCCTTCCTTGTCTTTTCTCAGTCTCAATTTATATTATTGTGGGAGATTTGGGTGTGGATGGGAAGTGGGAACACAGAACGTGATGGATTTGGAGTGGAGGAGAAAGGGGACCAGTTTGAAACAACTGTGAGGAGGAAAAGAGATGGAATGGATCTGAGAGCTTTGAGATGAATGGAAAGAGGTGACGTTTAAAGAAAGGAGTAGAAGAAACTACCTAGAATAGAACAGAGAATCACAGAAATAGAATTAAAAAAAAATTTTTTTAATCAATGAATATTTTAGGTACACATAAAAGGAGAGAGGCCCTAACTGGTTTGGCTCAGTGGATAGAGCATCGGCCTGAGGACTGAAGGGTCCCAGGTTCGATTCTGGTCAAGGACATGTACCTTGGTTGCAGGCACATCCCCAGTGGCGGGTGTGCAGGAGGCAGCTGATAGATGTTTCTCTCTCATCGATACTTCTAACTTTCTATTCCTCTCCCTCCCTTTTTAATTTTTTTTGTAAAAAAAAATTAAATTTAAAAAGAAATCAAATATTTTTTAAAAGAAGGATAGAGAATATTGTGAATCCAAGTGTGAAGAACCCAGGTACTATAATTATGAGCTTTTTAAAAAATATGTATATTTTATTTATTTTACAGAGAGGAAGGGAGAGAGTAAGAAACATCGATGGGAGAGAAACATCAATCAGCTGCCTCCTGCACACCTCCCACTGGGGATGTGCCCGGATCCAAGGTACATGCCCTTGACCGGAATCGAACTTGGGACCTTTCAGTCCACAGGCCGACACTGTATCCACTGAGCCAAACCAGTTAGGGCTAATTATGAGCTTTTTGCCACTCCTTACCTATAGTCCTACTAAATTCTTGCCATTTTTATGAAACAAATCCAAAGACATCACAGGATTTAACTTATACATTTTTCATTATATATATTTCTAAAAGAGAGTTTACTTATAAACTCTAATGCCATTCATTATCTCAACCTAATAATTAATTTTTTTTTTTTACCTACAGATATCCAACCTCCAAATTAAATTTTGTCTAAGTATTTTAAGGTGAAAGGAAATTAAGTTTATACATTGTACTTGGTTATTATGATCTTTACGTGTACTTTAATTTCTGTATTTTTCCTTCACAGGCTTTTTTATTTTCTTTTTACATTTGTGCCAAAAAACATGGTTGACTTTTCAGTAGTTTACCAGTCTGGATTTTACCAATTAGTTACTCAGTATATTAATAAAGGTTTACCAGAGATACAGAGCCAAGAGTATGAATCTAAAAAGACATTTATTAAAAAGTATTGCCTCAAAAAAAAAAAAAAAAAAGTATTGCCTCAGCCCTAACCGGTTTGGCTCAGTGGATAGAGTGTCAGCCTCCGGACTGAAGGGTCCCAGGTTCGATTCCAGTCAAGGGCATGTACCTTGGTTGCAGGTACATCCCCAGTGGGGGGTGTACAGGAGGCAGCTGATCGATGTTTCTCATCGATGTTTCTAGTTCTCTGTCCCTTTCCCTTCCTCTTTGTAAACAATTTAATAAAATATATTTTTTAAAAAAGTATTGCCTCAAAAGGTTGTGGAGCCTAAGATGTCCGATGATCTGTAGTCTGCAAACAGGAGACCCAGGGAAGACGGTGGTGTAGTTGGAAGGCCTGAGCATCTGAGAACAGATTGTACCAATTCCAGTGTGGGTCTGAAAGACTGAAAACTAGATGCACTCAGAATAGTAGATGTGCTAGCTTATTAAGTCCAGCAGAGAGTGAATTCAGCCTTTCCTCAGTTTTTGGTCTCTGTAGGCCTTCAGTGGATTGGAAGATGCCCACTGACGTTGGGTTGGGCTATCTGCTTAGCTCATCCATGGATTCAAATACTAATCTCTCCCAGAAATCTCCTCACAGTCACACCCAGAACAAGTGTTTCACCTGCTCTCTGCATCTCCTGTGGCCCAATCAAGTTTAACACAATTACCCTTCACAGGTTTCTCCATCCTTTATATTTCCCGTAAATAGGTGGTTTGGATCTCTGTAGAGATTTAGGTTCGTTTTTCTGTCAAAACTTCTTCACAGATAGTATTATGTAGTCCCCTCAACAATTCTATGATATGTGTTTTTGTCACTCTTTTTTAAAAAATATATATATATATTTTTTATTGATGTCAGAGAGGAAGGGAGAGGGAGAGAGAGAGATAGAAACATCAACGATGAGAGAGAATCATTGATCGGCTGCCTCCTGCACACCCCAAACTGGGGATCGAACCCACAACCTGGGCATGTGCCCTTGACTGGAATCAAACCTGGGACTCTTCAGTCCACGGGCTGACGTGCTATCCACTGAGCCAAACCAGCAAGGGCATCTTTTTCTGATAGTTGAGGCCAATGATAAATTTCCCTAGAACAGTTCATTCATTTAGAGTTGCAAAACAGATGATAGTCTTCACTGCTGACTCCTCCTTAAATATTGTCCCGGTAAATAATTTGGTTTACCAGAGATAGTTTTTTATATAGGAATGTAAGGAGTAATTGCTGATTGAACTGTTCTTTAAATGGCAATATTGTTCTGTCCACAGAAACCACATATCACTTAGATTGTGCTGAGTTTTTGACCATAAGGACTCCACAGCCTATTTTCCATTGGGGAAAAAGGCATTAAATACAGGCGAGAGTGACAGGAAGTCTAGGCATCGGCTGAAAACTGGGACTCTTTTTGGACTCTTCTCCATTGCACAGAGAGCAGACCTCAGCTTCTCACTTTTCCTCACACCTGGAGGATCACCCTGACTGAAGAGAGTATCTTGGGTCAGATACCTTCACTGCACAATGGAGTCTGCAGCCTCCCTGGCCGAGCTCCAGGCAGAGGCCAGCTGCCCCATCTGCCTGGATTACCTGAGAGACCCAGTGACCATTGAATGTGGGCACACCTTCTGTCACTCCTGCATCCACCAGCGCTGGGAAGATCTACCGGGCACCTTTCCATGTCCTGTCTGCCTCTATCACTGCCCTGACAAGAACTTAAAGAGGAACACCCAATTATGTCACATTATTGAAGTTGTTAAGCAGATTCCCACCACAGGGAACGAGAGGAAATTGCAGGAAGAAAAACCCCTGTGTGGGAAGCACAATGAAGTTTTAACACTTTTTTGTGACAGCGCCGAGGAGATGTTATGTCCTCGTTGCAAGGTCCCCTTAGACCACCAGGATCAGTCCCTGATACCCATTGAGGAAGCTGCTTCGAGTTGCAGGAAGAAGCTCAAAAGATACATTGGGGCACTGTTGGTGGAGGTTGAAGATGCTGAAACGGAATATGAAAACCAAGTTGCAAAAGAATTTGAAGTGCAGAAAAAGGTGGAAAAATGGAGGAAAGAATTGCAGTATGAATGTAAAGAACTGAAGTGTTCCTTACAAATAGAGCATGATGTATTTAATGCTGGTCTACTTATAGAAGAGAAGGATGTTGAAGAAAAACTAACTGAAAATGGAAGGCAAATTTCAAACCATATGTTCATGCTAAATAATCTTTTAAGTGAAATAGCAGAGAAATATTTACAGGCAGATGTGGATTTACTCACAGGTATTGAAGATATCCACAATAGGTATGAAAAGCTAGAGACCCCAGCAGTCTTTTCATATAAATTAAAGAAGGAGAGTTGCAATCTCCCCCCACATTATTTGGGCCTGTATAAAATGATCAGCACATTTCAGGTAGATTTGACACTGGATCCTGAAACTGCCCATCCAAGTCTCATTATCTCAAGAGATAGAAAAAGTGTGACATATAGGACACCAGATGGTCTTCCTAATCCCCAGGCACTTACTTCTTACCCAGCTGTCCTGAGTTCTGAGGGATTTGATGCTGGCAGGCACTTTTGGCAGGTAGAAGTAAGAGGCACAGGTGAATGGTCCTTAGGTGTGTGTAAAGAATCTTGCCTCATAAATAGTCTGATATCACCATCCCCAAGCAATAGCTGCAGGCACATTGATCTTTGCGCTAGTATATGTGGAACATGCCCTAGAGGACATATCATGCGGGTTGGTATTTTTCTGGACTATGAGTTGGGAGATGTTTCATTTTATAATTTGAATAACGGTTCATACTTGTATGGATTCAGTGGCAAGTTTAAAGAAAAACTTATGCCTTATTTCTCTAGTGCACCTTCGTCAAAATCTCTTACATTCATTATCAGAGATGAATGATGAACAACTTGGAAATTTTGTATGTGGTTATTTTCTTCCCTTGTTATTGAAAGGAATGCTTGTATAAAGATTCTGATTCCAGTTTTGATGTTTCTTAAAAGCATTCAGTATTTACCCTTCTTTTCTCCCTTTACCTCATGCCTGGGAAAACTAATGAGAAAGCCTTTGGTGCAGGTGGGAAGTTGCAATGAAGCAAGCCCCTGTAGTGCCAGTATGCTCTCACCAACAGCACCCAGTAACCACCATAAACAATAAACTAGTATCCTTTTCCCGTGCTCTCAGTCATTTTGGGACCTCCTCTGAGACCCACTTTACTCACCGCCAAAAACCTCATCTTGTGAGTAATAAACTTTTCATACTCTTCTGGTATGTGGTGAGTCATCATCAGTCTGAATATTTGAAACCAATTTTGGATGGCTCCACCCTGACCATGCAATCTAGTCATCACTATTAGCATTGTGAACAGGATTTTTCAGATAGGAAGCACCCCCACCAGGGTTTCCTCTGGCTTTGGGTTGTAACACTCTGGTTCCCTAGGCAAGGGTGTCCTTTCAGCTTTGTTCTGCATTTGCTGAGTTCTATGGAGTCTGTGTTATAGATTTAACTGACCTAAGTCAGAAGTTTCTATAAGAAACATATTCTACTTTTTATTATTTTCCATATAATTTTTTGGGAATTCTTGTCTTGCTTTTGTCTCCTGTTTTATAAACTTTTTATGTACAGGACTGAGCAAAAGCAGGTTGACAGTAGTGTTACAAATAATACAGTAATTAATAAAAAATAATATCAGAATAAACTTTTGTGTACTAACTGTAAATATACTTTTGTTTAAATATCCTCACCTGATGATATATTTATTGATAAATATACAGAGGAATGGAGAGACACACAGAGAGGGAGAGAGACAGCGAGAGAAACATTGATGTGAGAGAGAAACACCCATCGGTTGCTTCCCATAGGTGCCACGACCAGGTATTGAACATGAAACCTATGTGCCATGACTGGGAATTGAACCTGCACCACTTTGGTATATGAGACAACTTTCAATAAACTGATTCACCTGGCCAGGGCTATAAACCTACCTTTTACCACCCCTGTATGACCTGTGTTACATTGAAACCCCTGGTTGGGCTCCAGCTGCCTGTTGTTGTGTCCAATAACGAAGGCAGGGTTGAGTCATCATATTAGGTGTTTATTGAAAAGGCTAGGCAACCAAGAAGACCGGGTGCTTACAAGCATCAAATCCTGCCTTCCAGCAAGATTCAGGGGACAGGATTATAAAGGGGAAGGGGCTGGGGTGAGGAATGTAGCTACATGCAGGCCGGGGGGGGTCCGAAGACTCAGCTCTTGTAATTAGTCATCAGGTGATTAGATGCTATTGATGAGATGTTTTGACTCCTGGTGGGTCAGCCTGACAATGCTTGTGGGTTCTGCTTGCTTGGTTCACAGCTGAGTCACCTCTCCAATCCCTTCACACAGGCCTTGAAGAGGAAACTTTAAGAAAAACTTAACCCCCTATTCATATGTAAGAAACTTAACCCCCTATTCACATAAGTATATGTGTTCTAAGAGTTAAAATAAATTTTTTTCAGGTTGATTCAGGTGCTTCATCTATCAGGCTATAGGTCCCCCCTATCACCTGCAAACGTCACATACTCATTTTTGACCTTATGTGAAATTGCCAACCTTTTAGAACATGCTTCTGTTTGGATGCCTGTATGTGTATTGTTTACAATGTTTGAAAATAAAGTTTACTATGCATATCTCTGTAGTATTTGTCTCTCCATAACTTGAAAAGATGTTCAGCAAAGCTTTCATGAGGTACAAAGTCTGCCTCCCATACAAAGATACCACACAACTAAGCTATGTTTTCTGGCCCTTTTCAACAATAATGACCTTTTCTTAAGTGTCATATAACACGTTCCTTATTTTCCTCTGAGTTGTCACCAAAGGACGTTTCACATTCATTTTTCTACCAACATTTTCTGGAAAATATATGTCTTCTCCAGGGCTAATTTATCTTATTTGTAAAAGCCTTTGCTGTTGGGCTAGTAAATCCTATTTCTGTGAAGACAGAAATACTTTGAGGGGTAGGGGGGCAGGGGAGTTGGGACAGAATCCCAGTGGAATTGTTCCTTTAGGATAGGAAATTTTAAGAATTTATATCCTGGTCTTCTCTTAATACTGTAACAAAAAGCAGTCTTGTACCTGAGCTTACAACTTGATTGAAACAGTTTTTAGTGATTTTATTAGTCATCTTACAGCAAAGTCCCTTGAATACTATTTCATTATTATTTACTAGAGGCCCGGTGCACAAAAATTTGTGCACTCGATGGGGGGGGGGCGGTGTCCCTCAGCCCGGCCTGTGCCCTCTCGCAATCTGGGATCCCTCGGGGGATGACCACCTGCTGGCTTAGGCCTGCTCCCTAAGGGATTGGGCCTAAGATGGCAATCAGACATCCCTCTGGCAGCCCTCAGAGGATGTCCACTTGCCAGTGGGGAGAAGACCTAAGCTGTAGTCAGACATCCTTAGCGCTGCTGAGGAGGCAGGAGAGACTCCCACCACCACCGTTGTACTGGCAGCCATCAGCCTGGCTTGTGGCTGAGCAGAGCTCCCCCATGTGGGAGCTCACTGACCACCAGAGGGCAGCTCCTGCATTTAGCGTCTGCCCCCTGGTGGTCAGTGTGTGTCATAGTGACCAGTCATTCCCATTCTTTCTGCTGTTAGGGTTAATTTGCATATTGCCCTTTTACTATATAGGATAGAGGTCTGGTGCACGGGTGGGGGCTGGCTGGTTTGCCCTGAAGGGTGCTCATTTTCAGGCTGGCTGGCGACTGAAGCTCCCAGCCTCTCCTTTTTTTCTTTTTTCTTTTTTTTATTCTGGGATTTATTTACCTTCTATAATTGAAACTTTGTTGCTGTCACTGGAGCTGAGAGCCGGCTCCAGCTCTGAGGCCATGGCCTGCTGAAAGCAGGTATCTGGGGTTTGTTTAGCTTCTATAATTGAAGCTTTGTTGCTTTCGGAGCTCAGAGCTGGGCTGCAGCAGGCAGGGAACCTTGGCTTCCTCCATCACTGGAGCAAGCAAGCCTCCTGCTTGCTTCAGCTGCGTGGCTGCTGGCCGCCATCTTGGTTGGCGGTTAATTTGCATATCACCCCGATTAGCCAGTGGGAAGCGTAGCGAAGATATGGTCAATTACCCTTTTTGTCTTTTATTAGATAGGATGCCTCTTTGCTTAAAGACTTTCTTCTTGGCAATGAGATTGAAATGAATCAACTGTTTCTCTACTAGTTTTTTGCTTCATAGGAATCACTCTTTTATAGATTGGTAGCATATAATATTTGAATTTTTTTAAAATATATTTTATTGATTTCAGAGAGGAAGGGAAAGGGAGAGAGAGATAGAAACATCAAGGATGAGAGAGAATCATGGAAAGGCTGCCTCCTGCATGCCCCCCATTGAGATCAAATTGGAAACCCAGTCATGTGCCATCACCTGGAAATATACTTTGACCTTCATAGGTCCATGCTCAGCCACTGAGGCATGCCAACTCAGCAAATGTTTAATTTTTAAGGAATGAGGATGGTGTCAACCATAATTGAAAATAAGTTTTTAGCCCTGACCGGTTTGGCTCAGTGGATAGAGCGTCGGCCTGAGGACTCAAGGGTCCCAGGTTCGATTCCAGTCAAGGGCATGTACCTTGGTTGCGGGCACATCCCCAGTGGGGGGTGTGCAGGAGGCAGCTGATCGATGTTTCTCTCTCATCGATGTTTCTAACTCTCTATCCCTCTCCCCTCCTCTCTGTAAAAAATGAATAAAATATATTAAAAAAAAAGAAAATAAGTTTTTAAAAAGGAACTCGGTAAATTTTTGGCAGTCAATATAAAAACCAAATTCCCTAATAAGCAATATGACACAATTTAATTGATAAAGAATTTTAGAGCTCAAAGAATGCCTCTCTATGAAAGTAAAAATTAGGCTGGGATTTGAAGAGAGAATGCCAGTACAAGGGAGTAAACAATATATAAGGGGCACAGGGCTGCCACGGACCAACCTGCCTGCACAAAAGTGCTGTGGCTGAAGGGTGCCATGCCCTGAGAGTGGAGAGAGGGCAGGACTGCAGAGTGCTGGAGATGACGGGGTGAAACTGGTGGGCTTCTCACATCCCAAGGTGAGAAAAGAAATGGGCCTCCCTTGGCCTTCAACTGTCTATTTCTTCATCAGCAGAGATGGGATTAAAGGGTTTTGAGAGTGTGGTCTGGGAATCCCAAAAGTCCAGAGTAGATCATGCAAATGAAGAGCTGAAGGCCTCTGCTGAGCTGATTACATCAAGGGAGATCCACCCCCTCCCCATCCACCCGCATTTCTGAACAGCTGCTAAGCCCCACATGCCCCTCCTCCAGGGCAGAGACACCATTCTGATCAAGGAAGTCCTCATAGCTCCACCCTCCTAGCACTATATATAGATGCCAGGGTCACAGCTCTAACTTCACAACTGGTACAAAACGCATCCCAGACCCCTCCTGGAGACTCAGTCCACAGACTGGCCCTAGGAAAGCTGGCACCAGGTGAGCTGGGAATCCTGGGTATGTGCGCACGGGAAGTGTGAGCTCTGTGAAAGCCTTGGATTCCTATTTTGTTGCTCCAGCAGGACATGGACCTCAACTGGCAGGCCAATCCTAACCTGGATTCAGGTACATATACGGCATATGTCTTTATTATTGTGGGAGTTTTTACGTGAGCCGGACCTAAATCATCTAAGTACTTGGTAAAAATACAGTTACTGTGACCTCCATCTGACCTAAGAGGTAACTAATATGGATGTGTGATAAAGTGCCCAGAGGTGATGGTCTGAAACCTTGTGTGGAATTGGTTTCCAGAATGTCAGGTGTGTCTAGTGATAAATTCTTATTTTTTAAACGAGAGGTTCCAAGAGGCTTACCTAAATTGAAGTGTATGCTGACACCAATCTGTCAGGGAAGCTAAGGGTTATTTTCCTT